TCAAAATTTTTACATTTAATTGATTTATTGTATGTTTTATCAAAAAACAGTGCTATAAGTCATATATCATTGGATTCGGTTTGAAAAATCCTTATCAAAGTATATCTATATGATCCCTTGGAATAGAAATAGTGAACATACCAAGTACATCTCCATAATAAGCAAAGGTATTGATGTGTTGAACTAAGAGATTTCCGAAATGGTACTACCTCCTATCACCCAAAGCTGTCTCAATCCTGGTTTGCCCTCTAAGCATTGCTAACAAAAAATTTTCTAACAGTGCACCAGTCTTTTATACCCCTTCATTTTCACACCATTTCAGAACATGTGCTGATCATGTGACTACCATCCACCAATCATATTGCACCATATGTATTAGCACAGCTAGCTCCCTCTACTATTCAAGCACAATCCTCACTTTCTCGATTGAAATTCTAGTGTAAAAACGTGTGTTTTAACTCATTCTTCATGTGACTACAAAATATTGATTGTGCTTGATCACAAATTTATATCAGTTTGGACTTTAAGTTTTGACTTCTTATGTTTGATGAATTTTTCCCTGGGTCTTTCGATGAGACAGATGCTTATCTTCATATTTCAATTGCCCCAGTGTCACATTGTTTTCTTCAGTTCATCCTCGAGGGTTCTCTCTTATCACTGCCATTCAGTCTTTCCTCGGCTCCGTATGTATTTTGTTGAGAGTTATGTTCTTTTTAATGTCATCATCACTTGCTGGACTCATCATTACATGTACGACTGGCTACTGTTCACCTCTTCCCATGCACAGTCAGTCACTCACACCCTCTTACTTCTTTGAAAAGCTGCTTCAGTGGAGTTTCTCATCAAGTTGGAGAAGTCCTTTACTACCCCCACACAGTATCTTATTCATTTTGGTTCTCTTCAATTCCCATCTTGATCGGGCCCAGTTTTCTCCACTTCAGCTCTGGGATATGGAACAGGCCGTCACGAAGGCTCTACATTCTCTTTCTCTCTCGGAACGAGAGGTTCTATCTCTTTTGGGGATGTGGGCTTCCTTGAAAGCTCTCATTTCCTTGGGTCAGGCACATATGCTTTTCATTTATTGGATGCTCCTTGACCAGTGGAACTTCTCCCATGATCCCTTCAACCATTCCATCAACTTTCCACCTGGGATCAGGGCTGACCTTGCTTGGTGGCTTGACAGGGACTTGACTTTGGTGGGGGTTCCCATTCCTTTGCCTCATCCTGAGTCTCATCTGTTTGCAGATGCTTCCTCTGTGGGTATGGGTGCTTTCTTCATTTCCCAAGAGATTTTCGGTTGGTGGTCAGTTGAGGAGGCTACTCTCCATATCAACATCCTGGAACCTTTGTCAGTTCATTGAGGTCTGTATCATTCTGATAATTCCACTGTCATCAGCTATATCACCAAGCAAAGAGGAACCCAGTCCAGATCTCTGTGTTTTCAGACTCTGGATCTCCTGTACTAGGCCAATGACCATGACATGACGGTTCTGGTGTGTCATGTTTCTAGAATTAAGAATCTTGTGGCTGATTGCTTGTCTCTTCCCAACCAGGTTCTCCCCATGGAGTGGTTCCTTCAACCTCAGGTATTTCTGTGAGTTTGTTCTCAACTGGGAACACCTCATATATATGCATTTACCACTCACTGGAATGCCAACCTTCCTTCCTTTTGGTCTCCAGTTTCTCACCCCTCAGCTCTAGGGGTGAATGCTTTCAGTTGGGATTGGAGGGGGTCTTCACCTATATGCCTACCCTCCAATCAGAGTCATTTCCCTTACCCAGAGCACTCCTTGTTGTGTTCTGCTGGATTCTTTGTATTGGCTGGCTTAGACCTGATTCCCTCTGCTCTGGTCCTTATTGAAACAACAGCCCCTACCCTCTGTCCTGATCGCTCCTCCGACAACCACGATAGGATGTATTTCCTTCCAACATCATCAAACTCCATCTTCATGTGTGGCTTTTGTCTGGTCCCTTGCCTCAGCTCAGGGACTCACCCTTTGTGTAGTATCTTTCCTTGCTCAAACCATTCACCTTTTTTCCTTGTCTATGTACCAGAGGCATTGGTCTTACTTCAGACTTTAGTCTATTCATCATGGCTTCCGACCATCCCATGCTTCTGTTGCTCATCTGTTCCAGTTCTTCACTTAGTTATTTGATCATAGTTTGTCTGTTTCAACTGTTGCTCATTACAGGGCTGCCCTGACGATTACTTTCCATTCTCCTGCTTTTGGAAAGCCTTCTCTTCCCTGGTTATTTCCCTCCATTTCCGTTCCTTTCATCTGGTCCATCAGCCATGTCCATTTGTTCTGCTGGATTGGGATTTCAATGTTGTCCTTCATGCCCTGTCCAGTTCTCCCTTTGAACTTATTGTAATATGTTCCTTGTACCATCTTTCCCTTAAGACCTATTCCCTCCTCCTCCTGGCATGCTGTCATCGTGGTTCAGACATCTATGCCATTAATGTTTCCTGCTTCCTTTACCATTCCTCTATCTGGATCTGGCCTTACTTCCCGGGACATCAGCTGCCCAAGACGGTTGTGTAGCCTTTTCTCCTATTTTCTTACATTCCATTTCCCACATGTACTCCAATTCTGATCCAGATTGACTACTTTGTTCAGTTCATTCCCTGCTATGCTATATGGCTTGTACTGCCTTCTTTCAAGGTTCTCATTCCTGTCTATTTGTTCTATGGAATTCTGCTGTTTCCCATGATTTATCACCTATTACACTTGCTAGTTGGGTTCATCACCTCATACAATTGGTGTATTCTGATGTGCCATGAAAGGTTGCCATCTACATAATGTTTCTTTGCACTAACTTTATCATCCAGCTATGTCTTTAGCTGCTCAAAACCACTGTCCTATGGAGGAGATCATTCAGGCTGGTATGTGAAAAACTCCCAATACATTTGTTGCACATTATCTGCACAACCTAGCTGTGTCTTCCTTGGGCAGGTATTGTCTTCATCCTTTGGCATTTCTACACACGTCTATTCGTCTTTGACTGGGGTAAGTCGACATATTATTTTATTATCTCATTTCGTTGATATACATCATATTTCAGGATCCCACCTGGTGGCGGGTGTTAACTGGTTAGATATGCTTATTATTATATTAACACCATATCTGTATACTTCTATAACGCTCACTGTTGAGATGGGATGTTTCTGTAAGATCATCGGCTGCTTATCCAGCAGTGTGTGTGTGTATATATATATATATATTTTTTTTTATAACTGTTTCATATATAAAGGACCATCACTCATGGACTTCCTGAGTAAAGCGGATGGATTTTTGCCCATCTCTACTGACCCGTGATTCTTACAATCGGGGTCTTTCTACTTTCCGAAATAGGAAATTGCAGACACTCATTGCACTGTCTCCAGTGTTTTATGCAAAATACACTTATAATTTGCAAGATTTCTAAGGTTTTACTTATATAAATTTATAGTAGATAAATTCTTCTTCATTCACAGAAGGCTACATGTACATTTGTGATTATTGACACACTTAAAAATTTTTGCTGACTATTGACAATCAGTAGAGCCTACCAAAGTAACAATTCATATAACACTGCTTATTCCTTTGCTTACGGGACCAGTAATTTTGACCAACATTGTAATTACCATGCAACCATGAAACTACATATGCTATAACTCTGAATGTACTTAGTGTATTTTCATGAAATTTGACAATTTTTAGTAAATAGTACAATTTTGTTATACACAAACAATCAGAGTTTTTAAAGATTATTTTTACTAAAGATTTGTCTATAAATGTCTTTATTGAGTCAGTTTGAGTGAAAGGTGATTTTCATGTAGGAATAAAAATACTTCTTTTCATCATACAAATTTCGTATTTTATGTACATAACTCTTAGATTTTTCTAAATGAACATCAGTTTTTTTTTTGGTAAAACTTTATAAGTTTCTTTCTCTACCCCAACACTTACATTAGCAAAATCATCAATGTAATATAAATAAAAAGTTTAAAATATGAAGTAAAATTAATAATATCTATTTTACTATAATGACTGCAGATTTTAGCAGAAAGCTACAGTTATGTACCCTAACAGCATCAGCTACGAACCTTTTCACATCTGCTTTCTTTTCTTTTTTTTTATTACTGTACTTTGAATCCTCTCTGTGTGCAAAAGAAATAAATCACAGTGATAAAGTTTAGGGTAAACAAATGATCTGGTTAAAGTCAGGCAATGCACATATCCAGAGCTTCCTAATTGACTGATTTCAAGAATTTTATTTTCAGTGAACTTTTGTTATCTAAGTTTCTAATTTTTACATTGTAGTTATTTGTGTTAGAAAATACATAAAAACGAATAAAAAATATGTGTAAAAAACAAGAACTGTAGCATTTTCTTCAGCTTGAGGTTGTTTGCACTTATATGCTGTGCTCAGTAATCCTACTTTTTTGTCACTATGTTAGTTGTCTTAGAAATAATTCATATAGCTTTTAAGTTTGCATTTTAGAACACAAAATATATGTTAGACACTAGAATATAATGGCCCAAAACTACAATAATTTTTTCTGGCTTTGTAACTAAGCTATAAATTGGTTTAAACAAATCTGTTACTGCTCAAAGCAATGACTTTATTCAATGTTCATCAAGCTTTTTTTGCAAGCTACCATCTCTGACTGCTAAAACTAAACAAACAAACTTAAGATTTATGTACATGACAATATTTTGTTTATATTGGTTATAAACATGTCCATCAGACAAGTAGGAATGTGGTAAATAATTGGCTTGAATGGGAGTAGGTTTCTCTGGTGCTATTTACAAACATAGATAAATTTTATATTTGTCCTTGTCATTATCTGTAGTTTGTGTTTCTAATTGATTATGCACTGTAGAATCTGTATTACTGAAGTTCTAAAATTTGAGTGTAATTTTATAAATGATGTGCACTTTGACCCACTATATTCATAGGGTTAATTCAAGTTGTTGAATTTAATTAAATTATCATGTAATGTTTTTATTTTACAGCATCTTGGTATGAAGAAGATGGAAATTATCCACTTTGTGGAAATAGTAGTGGTGCAAAGTAAGTGAATCTGTATTTTTTCATACTTATTGAAAATTGGGTATGTCAAGTTTTATAGCAAGAAATTGTTTTTATGGCATGAGCACCAAGTTTATCATAATATGTAGAAATTATATAACATATTTAAGACTTTTATGATACGTACATGTTCATACAGAAAAAAAGTAAAGGTATTATACAGTTCCTGCCCCCCCATTGTAATTATGTAATGATATACATTCAGCAAAGATTATACAATTAGAATGACATTTCCTGTAACAGTTATACGGTTATATTATTGATATTTTTAGGGTGTTCAAAATATGTATAAAAATTAAAAAACAATGAAGACTATATTAATATAAGAACAAAAACAGTGACTGTACTTGTGCAAATGTTACATAACCTACATAAGAAAGAATCATTAATTAAATATGAACCAAGTTGAATTTAGAGGAGGAGATTTGATGAGTATTTTAGAGATCAGTTCTGCTTTTGGAACTTACTGAGATGGGATACTTTCCTAGCTGGTGTATGCCTCTCTCATGCTTATCTTTATTATCTTCATCAGGCTCCATTTCTTCACCTGGAGATCTTCACAAATACTCCTGACTCACTGGAGACCTAGTCTGAGACAGCCTGGCTTCATTCTTTATTGTCTGCTTTGGTTTCTCATGTTTTTCAACCTCACTATTCTGTTCCTTTTTCTAGGCCTGCTGAATTCATGTCTCCCTGCTTCATGGCCTTTTTCTTCCTGTCTCAGAAGTTAGCATTTTCCTTACCTGAAAAAGTATTTCTATTAGATACTCACCTCTGAACATCTTCACCACTTCTGGTGCACTTTATTCTTGCCTTATCTAAGAATGAAGTTAATTCAAGTGCAAGTGCTTAGGAGGTTGTATTGCCTTCATATTGGTGGAGGGCTATCATCACATGATGATGATGGCATCGTGCACTAGTGCAGTTTATGTTAAACATTTTTTTAAGTGGAAAGTAGCTCAAAGCTAGTGGTATGCAAGTCTCATTGGCACATGTGCAAAAGAATCAAGCTATTCCGTGTGTGTAGAGGTGAGTATGTATCATAAATACATTCTCAAGTAAAGAAAACGTTAACATGGAAGCTTGCACACTAGAGCCATTTCCACTGATTTATTGATCTTGGTACATGTAGAGAGAGAGAGTTTTAAAGTTTTACAGTTCATTGGTTGAATAAAATGAATTATTATTTTCTATTTTTGCATGAAAAATTTGTGTATTAATTATTTTCTTAAAGAAGTGAATTAAGAATGAAGCTAGAAGAAACTAATTTATCACCAAGAGTTCTAGCTTGATGGTACCTGCTTATGATTTGCATATTAATTGCAAAGAAGAGACAGTTGTCAGAATATTGAAATTTTTAGTTAAAGATGCTCAAAATATGAACTAACTGATATAATAAATCTACAGTGGTCAATTTTCAATAAATGGATATTAATTTACAAGTTATTTTTAAAAAATGCTTTTAAATCATTAGAAAATCAATTAAATATTTAGTTTGATTTTCTGTTGAAATTTTTGATTAAAAGGTAGTTTAATAGACATGAATATAAAAATGATGACAGCGTTTTGAGCTAAAAGATTTGTATTATTTTTACAAAATATGTTTTATTACTGTTCTTCACCTAATATATTTTAAGATCAACACATTTTACTTTTTAATTGGTTTTATTCTAAAGATGCCAAATTCATAAAAGTATGTTACAATATAATGTTTTTTGTTGTTGTTTTTTGAAGTAGTAGTTTGAGTTCAGTGTCTTATTAATAGTTGCTAGGTGGTTAATTCTTTAATAAGTTGCAAGATATTTCCTATTCATGGGAGATCCAAAAAGGTTTTGCCAGAAATGTGATTATCATAGTTTCATACTTCATTTATAAAGTGCCTAACAAGTGGTGATAATATTTTTTGAACTTTTTCATGTATCTTATACTTGTTTTGTACTAATACAAAAATTATAAAAAATTAGTGATAATTTAATGCTATAATCAGTTGAATGGTGGAAAAAGATAATTCTGTCTCAAAATACTTCCAGGTATGGTATGAAAAAATATGTTAGTATGGCTATAAAAGATGAAAGTAATATAGTGTATATAATAAGTTATAATTATTTTCTTCAAGGCAAGCTGTAGCTTTAATTATTTAGAAATATATCCCCATGCTACCTGTCATCCTGCTTTCACCAAGTTCAAAATTTTTGCTAACTTGTTACCTATTTTCAGTATGAAAAATAAATCTTTAATAAAGTTAACAACAGTATTACATTAAGTTTTTCTTTCCTTATCAACATCATTTTCTCTTACAGATCCTGCCCAGAAGGATATGAATGTCTTCAAGGTCTTGGAAAAAATCCCAACTATGGTTACACAAACTTTGACAACTTTGGGTGGGCTCTTTTGTCGGCATTCAGACTCATGACACAAGATTTTTGGGAATCTTTATATCAAATGGTAAGTAAGAAATGTTGCACTTAAACTTCATCATAGATACCCTGTATGTAAATTTCTAAATGGAATTATAAATATTTATATCAAACAACTTGCATTAAATGATTTTAGTGGTTTTACTAGATGTTTCTTCTTACATAAAATTAAATTTACACATTGACTTTTATTGTTTTTGTTAATGATAGATTTAAATGTACTTGGTGCAATGTTCACATTCTATCAAAGAATATAGTCTGACTACTAAATTTTGAAATAAAAATAAAAAAGTGAAGATTTATTTATTATTTCTATAGATAAAATATTATTTATTTCATAAGAAGTACCTTTGCCACATTGTCGTATGCGGTTTTTTATTTAAACCTAGGTGTGGCCTTGTAGTTAGCATGCAGGGCTATAGATTGGAAGCTCAAACATTGAAGCTTAATTATGTTGCTGAACATGCTCTATACTTTCAGCATTATAAAAGTAACACTCAATCCTGTTTCTCAGTTAAGAGTAATATTGTAGGCATTAGGTGATGTTTACTGGCTACTGCTTCTCTTTCTGGGTAACAGTTTCAAATTAGAGGTGGCTATGTATGAACCATAGGGGTCTCTCGTTTAGCCATTTAGCCCACATGCTACATAAGATGTTGTTCAGGCTAAAATTAATTTACCAGATGCCATTTCTTTATGTCTTCAGAATTTTAACATTATAGTTTTTCAAAGGCTACAAATACATATAGTTTTAGGTGTCTTTACACAATAATAATCTGTTTATGTTTGAATATGTAAATCATATTCTAAGTAAGAAATCACTGTGTTTTAGAGGGATATTACAGTATCATGTACAGCATATATGTATTGTTGATTTTTAGGTGCTAAAATCTGCAGGCCCTTGGCACATGCTCTTCTTTGTTCTGATCATTTTTCTTGGGTCATTTTATTTGGTCAACCTTATCCTAGCTATTGTCGCCATGTCCTATGATGATCTACAGAAAGCAGAGGAAAAAGAAGCAGCTGCTGAAGAGGCTGCAATAGCTGCAGAGGAAGCGGAGAGAATAGTAAGATTGATATTTAAGTAATTGAAAAAAAAGTACTAGTATGAAGTTATGAGAAAAGATGAAATATATATAATCTTAAGTAGATTTACCAATAAAATGTGAGCATACAAAATTTGGAATTTAGTTATTTGTTGAATTATTAACCAAAACAAAACATTAAACTATTTTCTAAATTTAATAACATGAATGAATTTGCTGTAATTAGCATCGGCTAAATACTTTTTAGTTCTGGTTACTGCAGGAAATCAAGTTTTGTCTGTATAAAACATTCCACAACTATGAACATTGTAAAAAATTATGTATATGGAGGTTGAGTACATTATATTAAAACAATTTTGGAGCCTCACCAATTTGTTACAATCCATTTTGACACATCTGGTCATGGTCTATCTTACATACTTGCATCTTGAGATCAACCCTGCAGCATAGTTTTCATTACAATGCTTTCCATACTCCATCCAGTGTACAAGCACAATAATTTTCCAGTGCCTGTTTCAACAGCCTGATCACAGAAATCTGTAGGATTTGCATCAGTTGATGTGATCAGTATGTTTTTGTATGGAATAGCAAGAATACCTGTTTTATTTTCCAGTTGTTTAAGGTATTCATCAGTTGAACAGATATGATGTGGAAGTGGTAGATGTACATCCTTCTTGATTATGTTGTACAATGTTACCTGTAGCATGTGTATGGCTTTTGCCATTCATCTTTGTGCTCATAGATTCTCATCTGATACAAGATGCCACACTATGTGTTCATGAGGAAGGTATGACTTGTTTCAAGTCTCATATAGGATAGTCCTGAAGTCCCAAGTTGATCTGATCACATCATTATCATTTGAGTTTATTAATATTTTGCATCAGAAATGGCTGTTACATACTCTTCCAAAAGCTATCAGTTTTTGGTGGCATCACATTACTTACAAAATGCCAGACAATGTCAAAATGTAGTTTTGATACATGCCATTTAAGTACAACGTTATATATGCTTTGGTTGTCATGTGATTTGCTGAATTGCATATACAAAATTGTTTTAATATAACATACTTAATCCTCTGTATAACAGTAAAAATCCAGTAATACTAGAAATGTTTAAGTGTTATTTTTTAGCATTTTTAGAATTTCTGCAGTTGGCTTAGAGGTAATGTACTGACATTTATTACATGATTGCAAATCACTTGATGATGAGCCAGTATTTTTCCAAAAAAATGTGGACCTTTTCTTTTACACTAAGTGATTTACACGAAAGACAAGTGTTTGTTTAAAAAAAAGTCAGAAGATAATGGGCATTTTAGACTTTTTGGAACGAACTTCTGTTTAAAGTTAGGGGAAAAAGAAGTTCATATAACTTTGCATTACTTCAGATATTTACCTACATAAGGTATGGAACCACATTTTTTATAAAATGAGGTATAATATCAAACTGTCTATACAATTTCATATACTTTTTTTTCATCAAACTTGATTCTATATCTTAGAAATCTTTATTTGATTTTTTTTTAAATATTACGTTAATATCATGATGAATATGTATAATTTTGTATTCACATTGGCAATTTTATATGTAACTCAGTTTGTGGAAGTGGCCATGCTATTAAATGTTACTGTGTTACTGATAAAATTATCAAAAACTTTGGTAATGTGAAATAAAGTGGAAGAAGCTTAGTTACTTTTTCTCAGAATTACCCTACAACATTGATCAACCTAAGCCAACATATGAGTTTGTATCTTATAACCTTCATTGTATAAACTACCATCATACAATGGGTCATTTCTGATACAATATCTTACCTCTGCTCACAAAATAGCTTTTCTCGATTAGCACTGCTCTCTATCGGCACAAATTTTCTACATTCACCACTAACCTTCCACCTACTGCTTCTGCATATCCAATTGTAAATGATTATGCAGCAGCTCTCCACCAGTAGGAGCTAACACAACACCTATCATAACCAGCACCCTCTCTACATTTGCACTCATTAATCACTTCTTGATTGGCAGTAGTACTGTTCAAATGTGCTTGTTTTTGCTTGAAAGTTTCTCAGCATTTTCCTTTATACTAAAGACTTAGTTTTTCTTTTTGTTTTGTTATTTCTGTATTTACAGGGGCCTTTTTACTAGTGTATTGTGGATCCCCCTCTGTGGCGAGTAATGCCTGACCAGGTATACCTTTTTTTTTATAATCTGCACTGTCCATCCTGTGACCTTGCTCGATGTCAATTATGTTGTGGCTCTTCCTACTGCAGACATGCACAATTCCAGGTGCTGCCAGGTGTTACTTGTGTGTCTCCATTCAATTGTCATCTATGCCGAAACAATTACATTGCAGGATTAGGTTATGCCCACTGGAGATAGGGTGATCTGTAGGACTGCTAGTAGTTCTCTGTAGTAGTCTTTTGCTTGATAAATATGTTTGTATCAAACCGAACACTCATGAACACATGAGTAAAGCAGACGGGTATTGCTGTCCATCTCTAATGCTCAGTGGCATTGAGACTCTTCCTACCGCAGACCTGGCATACAATTCCAGATGCTGCCAGGTATTGGTTGATCAACTCCATCGACGTGGTAGCTCTGCTTTTCAAAATAGGGTATCGAGGTCACCCATTGCACTGTCTCTGGTGATGAGGTCCTCTAGAATCTCCAACACATTTTTCTCTTTTATTCTAGTGGAGTATAGTAATCCTTGCCATTTACCAGTTCCTAGCTGCTAGAGTGGTGGACCATGGAGCCTCTCCTCCTTAGTGATGCATCATACCACTCAGTTGACAGTAGACTGGTGGCATTCTGTGGGTGTTGATGGTGTATACCATTTCCTACTGCAGACCTGATGTACAATTCTAGATGCCACCAGGTTTTAGTTGTAGCACTACGGTTTATTAATATATCTTTATCTTACAGATTGCTTTTTCCCATCATGGCATTCCTCCTTCCTACCATCCTCTGAACGTACATTCCTGGTGAATCTGGCGGAAATGGCCAGGTCATGATTAGAATCATGTGTCAATGGCATGATGCCCTTCCTACCGCAGACCTGATGTACAATTCCAAATACTGCCAGGTTTTGGTTATAGCACTCCATCATGTCATGACTATATATATATCTATATATCTATTGCAGTTTACTCCTCAGGCTGTTTTTCCTGTTGACCATTCTCTGGATGTGGTTCCCAGGGGGTTAGGTGTTGGGTGGAGATGGTCCAGCTAAGTAACTCCTCACATTTGTTCTGCCCAGTATCCCTCCTCATACTGCAGACTGGATAAAAAATGCCCAATGCTGCCAAGTTTTGGACTGGATATGCACCACAGGTTTGCAGTCCCTCTTCCTACCATCTGCTGGATGTTGGTTCCCAGTGGATCTGCTGTTGGTTGTCTCTGGACGTAGCACATATATAATCTCACTTGTATATGGCCTGGGTATCCTCCTACCATGGGCTGGAAGAGCCATACCTAATGTTGCCAGGTTTTGGACCAGAGATGTCATCCTACCAAGGCTTTCACCTTCCTACCATCTGCTGGATGTCAGTTCATGGTGGATCAGATGCTGGATGGGTTGGAAATGCACGTATGTGGAGACAGATTTTGGTATGGAAGCTTGTCTTCCTTACCAATTTCGTGGTGAAGGTAGGTGTTGGATGAGGTCGAACTAACACTACGGTCTGTCGTACCCTAGCTACTTGACACCCAGGGGTCCCATTAATTGGTAATATGTAGTACAGAATTCCTTTGTGTTTTTCTGTCTTTTATGTTCACAACACAGTCCATCAGATGAAGTGCAGTCTCCGGCTGAGGTGTGATATTTTCTTTTTTGGTTCCACACCTTATGGTCTCTCTTTGGGCACTTCCTGAAGAGTGATAATTTTTTCACCAGTTTAATGTGGGATTCTAGCTATTTTGTGAGCCGGAGGTAAGATATCATATCAGAAGTTTACATTTTCCTAAACTGAAAATGTATTTCCAATAGATACTTATCTCTTCTCGCATTTCCCACCCAGCCTGGTGATGTATGTTGTGGGTCTTCTGACCAATGTCGAAGTGATTAATGAGTACAACTGTGGAGAGGGTGCTGCTTACAATAGGGTTTGTGTTGCGCTCTTATTGGTGGAGAGCTGCTGCATAATCATTTGCATGTGGATATGCAGAAGTGGGAGGTGGAAGGCTAGTGTTGAGCATTGGAAATTTCTGCCAACAGAGGGCACTACTAATTAAGAAAAGCTATTTTGTGAGAGGGGTAAGTATCTATTGGAAATACATTTTCAGTTTAAGAAAATGTTAATATTTATGTTCTTGGCTGTGACTTTAACCTGGGGCATGATAGAATCTACTATCAAAGTAAAAATATTTATTAGTCAAAACAGGGTAGAAGAATTACTAGACATGAATTAAATGATTTGTAATTCTACTGGTCCCCTGCCATCTTAAAGTTAAAAATATGAAGAATCAACATTCAAATTGTCATTAAAAAAATAAGTACAAAAAAATAGTCACAACCAGATGTAAAAAATGAGTTTGCAAACTGAGGTGTGTTTTCTTTTACCAACGTACATTATATGCAATCAGTTTACCTAAAATAATAACTTGCCACGTTAAAAGTTGTAGTCTTCATTTATAGAATTTTAGAGGGTGTTTTTTTAATATATTTATTAAATAACTTGATTTATTAGGTAAAAATTTCATGTTATGCTTAATTGGGTGTTTATTGTTGAGACTTGCTTTAGTAGACTACTATGAATACTTTATTATCAAAGGGGCCCGGCATGGCCAGGTGGTTAGGGCGCTCAACTCGCAATCTGAGGGTCGCGGGTTCGAATCCCTGTCCCACCAAACATGCTCGCCCTTTCAGCCATGTGGGCGTTATAATGTGATGGTCAATCCCACTATTCGTTGGTAAAAGAGTAGCCCAAGAGTTGGCGGTGGGTGGTGATGACTAGCTGCCTTCCATCTAGTCTTACACTGCTAAATTAGGGATGGCTAGCGCAGATAGCCCTCATGTAGCTTTGCGCAATTTTCAAAACAAACAAATTATTATCAAAAAGTAACAACACAAATATTTTTAAAAATTTTGAAACTAGTGATGATTATTCTCATACCAACAGTACATACATCATAAGAAAAGCTGTAGAATAGGAGTTTTTAGCTTATATTGTCACAAAAAATTTTCTAAATCAAATTCAATATCAAGATGCTATGAAGTGTTAGTTTTTTTGTTTCCTAGCATTTGTTGTACTCTAATTTCAAGTATTTTAGATAATTTTGCAACTGTTTATTATTCTGCCACCGTTGTACATACAGTATTTACCGAATATATAAATTACCAAATTGCAGAAAACTGATATTATCAGGAATGTTGACAAATAAAAAATATATAAAAAAAACTTGGTTTATAGGTGGAGGAAGAAGGAGGGAATGAAGAAAAACCTGGAGGTGCTGTAGTCAAGAGTCCTTCAGATTTTTCTTGTAGGTCTTATGAACTTTTTGTGGGACAGGATAAAATGACAGAAGAAAAGGATATGAAGGAAAGAGCTAGTATTAAAAGTGCTGAAGGTGATAGTGTTTGTGAACAAAAGTCATGGTTAAGTGGAAAGGTTCGAAAGGTCAGTGTCATTCATTTCCAAATTATTTTTAAACTTTTATGTGCTTGATAAGTTTCTGGGATTTATTATAAATATCTAATGAATTGTGAACCTTTAGAGATTACAGTAAGCTCTGCTCATCAAATATTCATTTTAGGCTGATACCAAAGATTTTCTTCTAATCAGGTCTTTTTTTCATTGTTAAACATGTTAGTTTTTATGGAAATTACTATTCACCCCTAGTTTTTCAGAAATGAAAAAAATAAAAAAACATAATTTAAGAAATGTTCCGAAAGTTTTAATTGTATGCTTTAATCTTCATCTTTAGATTATGTTAATATATATTTCAACGTACCTAAGAAGGTCTTTAACATATGTTATATAAATTTGTATATTTCTTCTTTACGTGTTTTCTAGTTTTTATGTTAATTTTTGTTTTATAAACTTATCAAAACTTTTCTAATGCTGTCTTGTTTTTTTTCAACAGCAATACCAGGATTGGTTTACTCAATCAAAATGTAGTTGTATTCCCTTGTTGTTCACATAGTATAATTTTCCTTTAAAGTTTTATGTATATATGTGTGTTGTTGTTTTTATCTGTAATATTCAGTCTTACTAGTAATTGCATTTTCCCCTAGATTTCATAGAATACTACAGTGTAGGAGTTCCCATTTTTTTAAAACATTTATTACTTAGATACCATACAGAGTTTTAGTGAATTATCTAGATCTAGGTTTTCTTGGTCTTTTAATGCACAGATTGCTACCTTTAGAGAATGTATTAGTTGGCTTGAACCTAGTAGAACATTTAGCTTGTTTTCATTGTTTATGTGCCTAGCTATTGTTTTTAAATTATAAGGAATTCTAATTGCCTAGCGTTTAAAACACGGGTTCAAAAGTTGTACACTTAATGCTATTATTTAAAAAATAAGACAAACAAACCATTAGAAACTTGTTTGATATTACAAAAGTTGAATTTTAACTCCTTGATTCGTGGTACCATTATACTTAACAGTTTACATTATATATTTGAGCTATACAATGACTACGTCATCCATTTTTATTGATATCGGGAATGAATTTTTATACATATTTACATTAATGAGAATTATTGGTTATTTTGCATATTTTAGTGTGAAAGACATTATATATATGCCCAATTGAAGGAATGAAGTGTCATAAAAATTCACACTATATAAATGAATGTGTAACAGTTTGTTATGACCAAGTTATAGGCCTATGTACATAAATAAAGTAAGTGCTAAATTCCTTACACTTATAAATATGTCAGAAAGCATACATTCTTGTATTGTAGAACTTTGGAAAAATTACATTATATTTTGTTGATATAACTTTGTGTCCATGACACAATCATCAAAAGGTATTACTTATCTTTATAGATGACATGGTTTGGTCTATATATGCTCATTGCATAAATCAATGAAAGCCATATTTAATTTTTGTAAGGACAATTAAATTTGTATTCAGATACGTTAACTTTTTGTTACTTATCATTAAAAATAAAGTACATTTATACTATTTGAATTCATTTCAATGTGGTAACTCTGAAACATCGTAAAAATGTTGAACTTTAAACCAATAGTAAAAAATTTGTGAAACTATACATGCATAATTTATACAGATTGGTAACACAGAGAAACGTATATAGAAGTATGTTAGACAGGTGATGATAAGAACTGTTAATCAGTTATCAAATATTTGAAAAGGCACAAGACAATGAAAACAATTTAGTAGGATATATGTAGTAATACATGTAGATCATAGTCAAGTAGTGGCCTGAATTTTATGTTACTTTCAACTTACTGAAGTTCGGCATAGTTCTTCATGAGAATTACTAACTTCCAAGGTCACAGGTAAATACACAGCAATAAATTTCTTTTAAATTATTTGCTGTCTGTATATATATTTATTATGTTCATACATTTGTCTTTACTCAATCGTTTGTGTTTTAATAAAATGTTATTTCTGTAACTACACTAATATACTAATGTATCTTGAGCTTTAGCTAACTATATTATGTGTTTTTCATGGGTCTTTCTAAAACTTACTGTAAAGAGTTACAATGTTTCTTTTTGAATACAAAAGTTGTGTTTTTTTTTGTAGAATATTCAAGAACTTAACTAACTTGTATGATTAGGAGCAACAAGCTTAACAAGCACAGTGAAGCATGTTGTTTGATACAGTAGCACTGTGCACCATGCACTCAGCACCTAAACCTGACAAGTACAGCAGGGTTTACAATATTGTGGCTAGTGCTACTGGCTGAATACATTTACATAAATATATATATATATATATATGTATGTATATGTATATATATACATATTTTTTGCATGCTATTCTACAAAATTTTAAGGCTTACATATTTTAATTCCTCTTTTTCTAATATGCTGTTAAAAGTTGTAAGTTACATCTTATTGTATGGCATTAGTAAATAATTCTTCACTATTTTCTCTGCTATTTTCTTTAAACCCTGTTGTTCTTTCCTTAAAGCACTTTAGGCTCTTCTTTTGGGCAGATATTGAATGAAGTGGCCTTCATGGCAAAAATTACAACATTTCACACGTTGACAAGGACATCCTAAAGGTGTTTGAGTGTATAGTGGGCAGGCTAAACACATTTCTACATGTATGTCAAGTTTTCTGTAATTGTGATCACTTGACTGCAATATGGCAAAGGTCCTTTCACTTTCTAGGCAAGCCTCAGTCTTCCTGGCTCACCTTTCAACCTTAGGAGAGGAAGCAGAGGGAGCCAGTTCAATTGGCGTAGTAGTGGTCGTCGATATGGAGACAGAAAACCCTTAGTGCTTCAAACTTTCATGGATGCACAAGAGCATCTTCCCTATGCAGATGATAGTAATGCTGTAACACCCATGTCTGAGGAAAATGGTGCCATAGTAATTCCCGTTTTTCCAAATCTGAACTCTAGACATTCCAGTTATACCTCCCACTCATCACGCTTATCTTATACCTCCCATGGTGACATTTTTGCAAAAGGTTTGACAAAGGAAAGTCAGCTCAGATCTCGCTCAAGGAATCTCCAAGGCCTTTATCATGAGGTTCTTAGCAATTTTCACTTAAACATAACACCACTATATTACAACTTAGTTATAAAAAATTAAAAATAAGGGTCACTTAACCATAAAACCTCTTAGCTTGTTATAAGTTAACCTAGTAAATCAAATTAGAATATTTGAAACTGGTGTGTAATAAGTTAGAATGTAGTTTTTGAAGATCATTAACATTACAAATTTTTGTGGTTTATTCAACATGTTTTTAATGCAAAATTATTATTATTAACAGATGCTTTGATATATTATTTTGGGCCATTCATTCAAATCTGCCAGGTGCTTTCTTTACTCACACTCTACATGCATGTTTGTACTTCTACTGCTCTTCCAGTATTTTCACTGCATATTACACATACAGTTTTTTCTTGTGCACCAATACAAACACACTTTCATATATTAACCTGTTTGAATTAGGTTACTATGAAATTTTCATTTTATATATGTCTTGCATATGAAGTAAGTACCCGGAAAACTTATATTATTATCAACTGTATCTTAGATATGTAATATTGATAAGCTAAACACTGTTAATAGTGGTCTAGAACAGGAAATACATTATTTTTATGACTCAAATGTTACTTATTCCTTTTGTACATTCTTTTTAATTTTGTAATTGCAAAATAATTCTTTTATGGCTTCTAATTCACTGTAATGTATTTATCAGTAATGTAGTGTGTGTGTGGAGAAATAGAAATATTGCAGCCATAATGTTATATCTATGGTTTTATATCAGTTTTTGTGCTTTATTTTATTGATGTAAGAATAGTTCATTTAATACATTTTTAATTAAATACTATATATCTACTATATGTACTAAAGTGACAAAATTAGATGATTCATATAAGTTATGAAACTAATTGAAATACCTTAGGTCTGAAAGCAAAGGTGCAGCTAAAAAAGGATTGAGCGTGGCGCTTAAAAGAATGAAATCAAAATTGGCAGCCAAACTGGTTGCTACACTTAGAGCATTGATACGAATTTTACAACAAATATTCATCCATTAGTTAGCTAAGCAATGTATTTTGTTTTACCCACCATCATGCTCCACATTAAACAAAAAATGCAGCCTGGCTAACTAATGAATGAATATTTGCTGTAAAATTCTTATCCATGCTATAAGTTTGATATCCTTATTGCAACTTTTAACTTACTTTGTACATAATTCCAAAGATGAATCATACTTTCATAAGCTAAGAAATCTAAATTAGAGAGATTATTATGTCTCTGCAGAGAGACATATTGTTCTTCTAATGTTTCTTCTCTCTTTCTTTCTTCTTATTCTTAGTGTTTTTCAGTTGACTAACATTCCTTCATTTCTTGGCAGATTGACTTGAAATTTGGTTGGATTATACATTAGTTCAAGACAACTTTTTAATTTTTGTGATTTAGGCCTTTTTAAGGATTTTATGGGGTTAAATGTCAACCAACCCATATTACAACAATTAAGGTGAAAATTGGCACAAATATAAAATTTCATGTGCCCAACATATTGACCAATTGACATATTGGCCATGTTTTGACCAATTTACATGGGATTTGGTACAAATATACCTCCAAGCATTGATGTAAACACTTTTAGATCTTTTTGTGTTTTTTTATGATTTTTCTGCTGTCAAAATTGGCCATGTTGGGACTGCATGATGGAAACATGTTAAATTCACCCACGAATGTTGGCCTCTTTACTTATAGTTCTCATTCTTTCACAAGATCATAAAACTTTCCTGTAAATGTTTATTCTAAACTCAAATTTTATTGCTCAGAAAACAGCAGAGATGTTTCATGCTTATCCTCACCTGATATGTTCTACTCACAAGGTCAAAACAAAATTTTATACATCTAATTCTTATTTTAACTTTAACAATTTTAAGAAAATAACATAGTTTATATATTTATCCTTATTCCTACTCGTATTTTAGTATGTACCAATTCACATTTTTACTTTTCTTCTACATAAGTTTACAAACAAAGCAGGTTTTGGTTGTTTATCTTAGCTTTGAATTTTACTTTTTTAACACTCAAAAAAATAATCTAGATATTATTTTCCAGTCCTAGTTTTAAATTTGTTTTTATAAGTTTGAGAAAACAGTGTAGAGTTACTGTTAAAATAACAGGTTTTATTTGAATAAATATAGCCACAAGCAATGTTATGAATTGTGTATTTCAAAAATTAATTGAAGAAAAGGATAAAATATGAGGGATACCAAATTATCTGGTTGTGACAGAAAATTGTTAATTCAATGGTTATTAATCTTGTTTTGTATAGTTAAATGTCTTGTCAGGAGATTACCATTTAAGTGATTAAATAAAAGAGGTTGAACTTGCAGCCTTGTATTATGATGTACTATCAATATATAATTTGCATTAAAAATACTTAAACTAGCTTTATTATTGCCATTTTTGTTTTAAGGTCAGCAGTACACTGCAAGGTACTTGAAAAGGTTATTAAAAACTGTGTATTTATAGTTGAGAAAAAATGACTTCAGTTCATAAAAATATTCTGTATTGTGTATAATATTTTGTTCATTTTATTGCATAAACGTTTTTTATTAATAAATCTACAAATACTCTTGTATGTTTGTAAATAGAATAACTCTTTATAATTTCCATGAGGCAAAATAAAAATGTTACAATAAATTGTATTGTTCATTTGGTATTTTATGTTATGTATTTTATTTTACATACTGATGTTTTCTGACATTTGACTTTATATCTATAGTAAAAATTATTTGCCATATTTTTGCTGAAAAAACTAAAGCAAAGAAATAATTCTTACTTCTTGAATTCCATTGAAACAATATATATTTAAAAAATTAAGTTAAATTTATGAGTTACATTTATACTCAACTGTTTGAATGAATGGCCTTTTATTGCAGCAAAAATATCTGAAAAGTAGTACAAAACATACAATTATAAGTAGGTAAAAGTTTTGTAAATTATCTATCTACAAGTCATGAGTAAACTATTGTGAAGTTAATATATCAATTTTAACTTTGATGTTTTTAAGAAAGTGTTTTGTAATAGATTTAATGACAGTTGTTCAAATCAAGTGAAATTGATGATTACATGAGTAGTATTTCAACGAACATTAGTTATTTATATATTAAATATAAAGAATTTGTTGTTAAAGTAGTATTAGGATTGTGATGACAATTGGAATAAGTTGAAATTAACTTTAATATATTAAAAGTGATATATATATATTCTATTTTAAAAATTAACATGACTTATTTCAAGCTATAATAAGTTTGTTTCTTATTGCATATTTTATCAAAATGTCTCATATATTTAAAGAATATACTGAATTACTGAGGATAAGTTTATGGATTAGGGAAACTTAGGAAAATACATTATGTTGTTATTATAACTTTTTTACTGAATACTTATCATTTCTTTATAAAACAAACCAGGATGCTACAATGGAAGGTGATGACTGCCTTGCCAAAAATAAACATCAAGAAAACCCATTCGTAGAACCTTGTCAACATCAAACTTTGGTAGATATGAAAGGTTAGGATAAAATACTTTTTATTCATACATGGAAGTATTTTTTAATACGTAATTTTCATTAAAAAGCATATTTTCTTTAGTTTGTTAATCATCAATATGTCTTTTTATTGTGTTTATTCAACATACTGAATTATGAATATAGAATTGTCACATTTTGAACAAGTTAACTTTTATTTTTTTTAGGTAAAGGTTTGCAGCATGATTAAAAATATTTGTATAATATGTTTTTCGGTTTAAAATGTGTTAGGATTCTTCTGAGCCTTGAGTTGGTTAAGTTTCCTTTGCCTATTAGTTTATATTTTCCTCTCTAGTACAACATGTAATGTAGGCAAATAGATAACAACAACTTACGTTTTTAGATTATTGCTCTGAAATCCCATAATCATGCAATGCAAGTACACAAATAAAAGTTTTAAATATATGTTCACATATTTTAATGTAACTCTGAATAGGCATATTTAATTCTTTAACAATCTGTTGCCATAAGCTATTCTCTCAATACTTCCAATATATCATCTTGTGATATGTCTTATAACCTCTTGTTCTCTAACTTTTCATAGAGTCATGAGACCCTCTTGTATCACTACAAAATTTTTATCATTATGCACTTGTTTAATACAATGTGTATTCCATTTTATGTTACTTAATATGAAAGTCATATCTAGAATGTGGTGGTGGACCCAAATATTAGTAATACATTTCTGCTAAAGGTCTTTTGTATTTATCTCTATCTGACCGCTGTTAACCTGAGATAACGAAGCCAACATCTTTCATATTTGGATATTTCAGCCTGTTAACATGATTATCTTCTAAAACCTTCTCCTGAGGATATGCATTTTCTTTTATATGCTACCTGCGTTTTACTTGTTTCCTTACGTTCTCTCCATAGGTGACGTTCTGCTTCTTTGATCAGGCTTCCTGATTCTCTCGACAAGTGCTTCTTGTGATTTTGTGAAGGATGCAACTTGGTCCCATTATTATTAATATTGTAGCTGCCAATTCTTTGATTTATTTGGTCCTCAGTTGTTGGAGAACTTGTTACTCTTAAAGTATTCACCCCCTTTTTTTTGCTCCCATTTGTTTCTCATTTTCAGGTTAATATAATTTGTGAGCCTTAATTTTGTCCAAAGCTCATTTGTGTTTCTAAAGCCTTTTTTGAAGCTTAAATTTTTCCTACATGTACACTGATCTGTCCAAACAAGAATGTTATTGAGTTTTTGGAGGATCTCTTCTTGAGATTACTTCTTTCATTTATTGTTATTTGTTGTTATTAGCAAATACTCATCATAAATGAATTAAACTGATTAGAGAATATTTTAATATTCTTAATAACAGCCCTTTAAAATTCTTAAAAGTTTATATAGTTTAAAAACTATATAAATTGTAAATGTACAGAAAATGCTTTGATCTATTCTTTCAGTTCTAATAGTACACTTTGAGTTAACACTAAAGCCTAGACTCCTTTATTTTAGTTCTGTTGCATCAACCATTCAGTTGATAGTACCACCTACCAAACTTATGTAGTAACCTTCCTTTATATTGCTTCTGCTCTAATTTTACTGGTAATTTTACCCAGAAGGGGATCATTCTTTCTTTTTCACCTTTTAATTATTAGTTTAGTTTTTTTTTATTTTGTCTGTATTTTATGTTATTTTTTTACATAGTTATTTGTATTTGTTTATAATGCCCAAAAAAGTTTGTAGGTAGTTTGTGTTCTTGTTTATATTTGATCTCTACAGAGTGGCTTTCTGGTATGACTTTTTTTATACAGTCTCTATCCACCACAAGTCTTCAAGTTTTTTTATTTAATCCAATTAGATACTGTACGTAACTCTGGATGAACATTTTTTCTCCCATCCTATCTTAAGCCTAGTTTGGTCTACCCCTTTCTCCTTACAATGTTATTTTAAGCATTATCAGTAAGGTAATTCCATAATAAACATTATCATACAAGTGTGTACTTTCTTTAGTTACAATAGCATCTCATAACTCAGGAAGGTTTGAAAATTAGAGTTTACAAGACAAGTCACAAAATAAAGTATTAACTTCTTTTCATTTAAAGGAAAATAGTATTTTTTCTAACTTTAGATTAATAATATGCAATTAACAAAATACATTAAGTTAAGCCAATTGATAAAGACAGTGATTGACATACTTGTTTGTTTTATAAATTATGTATATTATAATTGGCAAATTTTTAAACTTGGGATAAAGCTCAAATAGCTATATTGATATTTTTATAACTTTGGAAGGTATTTCTACCTGTTTTGTTGTGGTTGTTTATTTTTGTCATTTATCTGTTTGATGTATTTTAGCACACTTGCAGTAGTATTTGTAATGTCAGTAAACAAAACATTGAGACATGTTAGAACTACAAAAAAAAATTATTACTTAAGATTGAAAGAGAGCTGTATAATGCAAATAAAGATAAATATCAACAGATTTCAAACAAATAAGGAAATTACTTAAGGGAAACTGCTTCAAAATTGTAACAAATGTATCTTTCATTAATATGATTATTGGACTTAAAATATTGATTAACTGGAATTCTTT